TTGCCACCTGCCAAATGAGGCAGGTGACTTCAACCACCTTTTTGTTTAGACACATACAAAACCTCTGTACTGTTTTTCCACTTAATATACACCTTTTTATACATTAAAACATATGTTGAACCTTTTCAATTACAATTCCCCTCTATAATATTGACAGAATTACCTCTTTTTTGTTGTTACATGTTTGAATGATTGTACCACTCTTGTTAAGAAGCTAGCATCCTCTAAGACAGTCCTGTTAACCTAATATATTTGCTATTTTAGTCTTATGATACTAGGGAGTGTCTGAAAACTCTTATGAAGGCAACTACAGTACTTTATTGTTGTATGGCAAGCTATGTGTATGTTGCATGGCAAGTCACCTGCCAAATAAGGCAGGTGGCAAGGGGAAAAAAAGAACGACGCGACTCTCATAGTTTTCCGGAAACGCTGTAAAGCATAATATAGGTAGAATTCAATATTTCTATACTAAAGAGGTAATATCACAATGATGTAGCCCCTTACATTTCATGCTACACCTTGGTAAATGTAGCAACTACACCGTATCCGTATATGGTGTATACGTTCCGTATACGGCCGTACCGTATCCGTATAGGTTTTCGGGTTCAGAAATACGGCACCGTATTATACGAGCCGTATCCGTATAAGGGTCGTATTATACGGCCCGTATCCGTATACGGTACGGTACCGAGCCCTAGTTATCAATTCTTCATTGTTGTAAACGAATTCATCTTAAAAACACGTCGCGATATTCTAGGTAGTACCGATGCCGTGAAGTCTATAAATACAGTTGAAAATATTAATGCAATGCTGCAAAGCCACAGGGAAGAAAGTGACCTGAGGAGGATAGATGTGAGATCACATAAGGCATGATCTGCTCGATCTCAGGTACGGGGTGCACAAAGACCAACAGAGGTCTCCAAGCGCCGCTTATCCCCGTCTTGTGTTCCCTCACACGTGAATTGAAGTGTCCTGAGGGCTGGCTTGTCTCAGTTCGCTAGGGAACTTCAAGAAGACAACGATGTAACTCGTGCGTTCTCTCTTCTGTCTCTTTCTTCTACGTCGCATTGCTCGTTGCAAGGTCTTTCAGCTAGTTACTGCGCAGTCTCCGAATTTTCTGCGCACGAATTACTAATCGGTGTCAAGAACATCAAAGGGCATCTGCGAATTTTTGAAAATAACTCTCCAGCATCATGAGCTTTGGTACTCCAGAATACATCTACGTCACATATGGCGAATTGGTGGTACAGGACATGGTTGAATTGCTCTTAGATTCCCCATTCCCTAACAAAGCACCAATCGATACAGACACACCATGGAAGCTTGGGATTGACCACGATTATATAAGTATGTTGAAGGAAAGTTTCAGATTCGACATAGAATGGTCTTGGGAGGAGCTTGAGAGGAAGATTGTGAAGTTTTCTAACTATATGGTCCATTATGAGCATGAGGGAGATGTTTTGGACTTGCACTACGTTCACATAAAGAGTCGACGAGGTGATGGTATTCCTCTTATACTCCTTCATGGATGGCCAGGTATGTCTCATAAGCATGGTTATTCTGGCATCATAGCTAACTGACGGTTGTACCTAAGGCACTTTCTTCGACTTTTATAAAGTGATTGAGCCACTGATCGACCCTCCTCTTCCTGACTTGCCTTCGTGAGTCCTACATTATGAGCACACGCAGTCGACGCCCAATAGTACTGTTCACCTTTTTGTTGTCACTAAAGGTTTGATGTTGTTGTCCCGTCATTACCTGGATATTTCCGATCTACATTGCCGAGGCGTGATGGCTGGAACCTAGTGGATATTGCTCGGTTATTCAACGGACTCATGGCCTCTGTCCTTGGGTACAAGAAATATATGTATTATTGCAAACAACGTACACGTTGACTTAGAATGATTGCATGACGTAGGGTTCACTAATTCTACGTGTTGTGGGAAGCATGTTCCCCGACTCTTGTTCACTTATGCACTTCAACATGTTCTACGTTGAGTCTCCAGGATTTGCCGTCATGCCACAAAGTTCCGATTCACAGAAGAAGCAAGCAGAGGATGGCGAATCCAAATTTGGTTATTTCGCGATTCAAGCAACCAAGGTCTGCTTCTGTCCAAACTTCAAAGTCATTACACAAGTACTGACGGTTATTCTTAAATTGAAAACTTCTGCAGCCATTCACAATTGGATTAGCAATAGCTTCATCTCCTCTTGCCATGCTAACGTATATTGGCGAGAAGATTTACGGGTGGTCGGATCCACGCTTGCTGGACCCAGGAGATCATATAATGGACACTGTCACGGTTGCCCTGTATTACCTAAGTGACTGCTTCGCAACGTCTGTCGTGATGTACAATCAAGTCTGTCTTATCCGCATAGTACACTCAAAAGAACAGCGAGTTGAACATATTGCGCTACCTTCTGTAGAACATCACTCTCATCCGTGAACTAGGTTTACCGGCCTCGGAAGGCCACTTTCTGTTGAAGAACAAGTTTGGATACTCAATTTTTGTCAGTTGATTTTCGCCTGCACCTGCATAAACCATGCCGTTATCAGAGCTGAAAATCTGACTATTCCAGCCATATGAGATTGGTCGCGCACCAAAGGAAGATATCGGAAGCATTTGGACCACTTGTGTACACCAGAGGTCAGAGATCCAGACTCAAATTACTCACAAACAAGCTTTGCAAACTCTTACTGAATTAATTTATGGATTATTAGAACACCAACGGGGTGGGCATTTCCCAGCTGTTGATAACCCCGAGGCATTTGTTTGCGACCTGCGCGATTTCTTTGGTGAACACTGGAGCCGCGCGTGAGATTATGCAAAGTAAACATCAAAGAAGATTGCTTAGACAATCCATCAAGTTTCCATTATTGTGAATGATTCCGTCGTGAAGATGTATCATAGCATTCTAGGTAGCACTGAAGTCTTGAAAATCTATAACTACATTTAATGAGATGAAATGTGGCAATGTGGCAAAAAAAAAAAAAGAGGAAGTGGACTAAGAGGCATGACAGCAGGTTTGATGACGAAATAAAAGAATCCATCTAACTAATGACAAATGATCACTGAGTCATGATCTTCTCGATCTCTAGAATGCAACGGGCACGCGAGGCCTGAGCGAGGACGTCTGAGCCTCCAAAGCGCTGTTTATCCTCGCCTTGTATTCCCTCGTAGATGAACTGGAGCATCTTAATGAATTGTTTGCCCCAGATCGTTTTCGCGTGTACACCCCCTTCGTCTAGCGCAACTATGGGTATTATGCTTTAGTAACTCCTACGATTAATGAGAAATACCGGAATGCTTACCATAAATAATCTCAGGTGCCACCGGCTTCTCAATCATCTTCTGGTTATCCAGTAGTTGGGAAAGGTAAAGCCAGAAGCGGGCAGGCCTAAAAGCCATTGGCATCGGCTCCTTCATCGGAACGGTCACCGAGATAAACATCATGCTGAAATACAGCCTCAAGATACCCGAGATACGCGTCATTTTCTCCTCGAGGTTCTCATCTTCCCTTGCGCCCCAACGTTTCCGCTTTTCCTTGTCGGGAAGAGTTTGCCATTGCTCGTTTTCTACAACTTCAGGTTCCACGCCCGCAGCCCAGCATCCTGCACGAGCGCACAAGCGTGCCCAGAATATGTCACCAAGCGCTGGGTATGCGGAGATGAGTGACACGGCAACACGTGCAAGTGGGCCAGCTTGAGCTTTGTGCGCTGTGACTTCCGTTTCTGCTTGAGCGACTACTGCCTTTGCAAAAGAAGCGAGTAAGGCATGGTGGAGACATTGTGCTTCCTCGGGTCGTGGCATGTTCGGAATGGGTGCAACGATAGCCTTTAATTCCTCACTCTGCGACAAGGTGATGATAAGCATAATCCGACGAGAAGCTTGTATTGCTGGGTTGACTTACAATGCGGGCAATCTGTTCGGGATCGTCGGTGAGCTGACCAATCTTAGGAGTGATCTTTCTACGTTGAGCACTCCATAGTTTCTTCAATGGAGGAGGAGGTGGCGCCTGGTAACCTGCAGGTTCCGGGTCCGGAGGCCTCGGCCCCTTTACTGCGCGCATCGTTTCCGATCTTAAGTACTGAAGAACAGTTAGCACCGCTAGTCACGAAAATAACACACCCTTACCTTCAGGCACCGTAATCCCACTTTCCACATATCTTCACAACTGAGCAAGCCAGACTTCTCCCTCAGTTCGAGCAGACCGTGAACTCGAGTCTTATCTAATTTCGCCTTTTCTTCCTTCTCTTGCTTCTCAGTCTCCTCCATATCCCTTCTTAACTTCTCTGCCACGACTTTCTGTCTCTTTTCTTCCTCAGCCTTCTTCCTCTCTTCTTCCTCTTTCTTTGTCTTCTCTTCCATCTCGCGCATCTTCCGTTCATTCTCCTCCCGTGCCTGGCGTTCCGCCTCTTGAGTAGCACGCAGCTTGTCTTCCTCCTCTTTAATAGCGAGTTCAATACGCTCCCATAACTTCCTGTCACGTTCTTTCCACCTCTCACGTAGTTGGTTCTCTGCGTTGAGAGTGATGTTACGGTGTTTCTCCATCGATATTTGTAGAAATTCAAGCTCCTTTGTACGAATAAAATTGAATTGCTGTTGGTTCTTCAAGTGATTCTGTCGTTGCTTTTCACGCATCTCGTGGAGCACGGACGCTTGCTGTCGTCGTGCAGTGAGCTACATAATATGGTTGGATTGTTTAATGTGACTGTCATAACATGGAGACGCACGAAAGCATTCCTTCGCATCTGCGACTCCCACTCTTCGTAAGGATCAACGTGGCGCGAGTGGTTGCGAACAGACGCAACAGTCTCTAAGACAGCGTGTTGTTCCTGAGGTGTTCGCCCACTAATAGTGAGCTTGTTCCAGGGACCAATCAGATCCTCTTCAACATCTTGGTCTTCATCCGCGCTGTCTGACTGCGCATCCGCTGAGTCCACAGAGATGTCAAGGTCATATGAGGTATCTCCTTCATCGGAAGAGAGGTAATCTTCTTCTGAAGAATCACTATCGTATGAGGATGGTGCTCGAAAGTGTCCACTCGAGCTTGGTCTGTATTTGTGTCCGTTATGTCAGGGAAAAGGGATAAGAATATAAACTCACGTCTTATTTTCTCTAGCTGAGTAGAAAGTCCTAGGTGCACTTATTTTCATGGGTGGATATCAAGCTGTAGAGGCAGAGCAAGGAGTGAGAGGAAGGTATACAAGCGTCGTGGTTCTGTTATAGCGTTGTGTAACGTCTTGCACCTGGAAATCGTGGGAGTATTACATAATCAATTGTCTTGAGTTCAGTCTGAACTCTGATTTTGGGGGTCGGCATTTGCAAAGGTCGACACGGACATTCCCACGGCCTGCCGCGTGATGGCCGGAACACATTCTTGTCACATGGGGCATTTCACAATTTCTTGCCTTAAGAAATAACTTACATAATGATAAACATTATTTGTAATTTAGTTTACCATTTTTGGGTTGG